TAGATTGCGAAGCATTCAGAATTGCTATAGCTGTTGGGAGAAGGACAGTAACATTAGCCGCACGAGCAATTGGAGGTTCATTTTTGCCTCAAAGAAAGTTGCTAAGAATTCGTCAGGGCTTGTTATGAGGAGAGACCTACTTCGTTCTACGCTTATAAAAGCAGATGCGGTAGCGTTCAATCCTCCATCATCGACGACAACGAGCATGAATTCATATCTACCCTCTACAAGTCCTGAAGCTGTAGCTTTAGCCTTATCAGCGTTTACTAACATTGCTTTTGCGGGACCCCTGTAAGGGTAAAGGTTTGAAAATATTGTGCAAAATGTCAAGTTAAGCTTCTCACTCGACTTGCGTCCATTGATAGCTGACTATGCTACCATCATCCTTTGCGTTGCCATCTAACACGATGGAAGATTCGGGAAGAAAGATTGTGTGGTTTCCGCCAGCATCAGCTACTAAATTTGTAATCATTAGACATGAACGCTATCAGATGCAAATATGTAGCTAGCTCTATTCAATGAAATTCAATTTGAGGCAGATAAAAAAAACAACGACAAAATGAGAAAAGGCTAAGTATCAACGTCATCAGTTAAATGACCTGGTGGCTGATTTTCAGCTTTATTGACAAATATGCTGATCCGAGCCGAGTCCTTTTGCCCTTTGGTATCCTTCACATCTAACTGGAACTCATATGGACCAAAACGCTCATTTGCTTGTATGTTTCTTAGCGTCAGTATGCTAGTGGTTGATCCTTAAAAGATTTACCATAGATAAAGGAACAGATAGAATGTACTAAACATACGATTTCCACTAACCAGCAAGATCGACTGAAAGCTTTTCAGAAAGCTTGTCTACTCGGAACCAATTATATGACACAATGCCCTGTAAGCCGAAGATGTATAGCAGCAAACTCTTACACCTTATCAGAAAATCGCAACCTTATCATCTTGAGATGCATTCCCACATAAGTTTATTTCCGGTTTCGGAAGGCGTACTGTAAGAGATCCTACGTGATCCTTGCTACCGCATTCGTTGATATGTGCCTTCGGTGGATCATCACGTTCTGCTTCTACTATGACACGTGCAGATGCTGTTGATGTGAGTCCTCCACTATCAGTTACTAACACACTGAAAAAGAACTTGGAAAAAAAGTTTTGAAGTGGTAAGCAAGAAAAACAACCTGAAGACGTAGTTGCCTGCCACCATGTTATCCAAAGTAAGAATAGGTGTATTCATAGCCGGCAATGGGATGCTAGGTCCTTTATCTTGAGTCCATTTATAGGAGACTATCTTCTCATCATCAATGCTTCCTTGAAAAACCTCTATTATTTTTTTTCTAAATTTGGAAAGCATAAAACATACCTTCGGCATCTAAAGTCAATCTAGAGCCTTCAACTCCGTGCAC